CGTCTAAAAAAATAACAAGTTGTCACTTCCGTTAAAAAATTTTAAGAACCAAAGTGATATAAATTGAATACTTTAAGAACTAAATTAATACAAGGAGAACTAAACTGACAAAAAATACATATTTTAAGAACTAAAAGTACTATTAACCCTTATATATAATACTCTCAGTGGGAGACTGAATCACCCCCATCTCATATTTTACGCCAAGCAACTTGGTTCCTTCGTCAAACGAAATCAAATTGTTCAAGTGAATGTGGCTGAAGCATTTTGTCACATTGAGTTTGTAGCAATGGTGGCTCTGCATTTTGTTGGTCTCTGCTGTCAATCCAAAACGCTAAAATGATCTTAAATAGCTTAAATGCCAAGATGATACTCAGATTAGACAAGATTGTCTCTAAAATTGGAGAAAAAAGGCCAAAGAAGAGGGAGAGGGAGGGAAGATGGGAAGGAGGGAGGATTTCCTCAGTCCTCACTACAGTTGTCCCTTGTTGCAAACAAGTATTTTCTGTAACTGAAAAATTACAAGCGTAAGTGGATTACAACCAAACTTTTCGTGGTATATAACTAGGACTGATAATTGAACTGAACTACTCGCATTCAGCTCGTTTTGAACTCGGTTCATTTCTTAAATGAGTTGAGCTTGAATTTTTTTTTAAACTCGTTTAGAAAAATGAGTCTAAAGGCTCTATTAGAATTTGCAAAACTTAACTCGTTTATAAATAAACTAATCAAGTTACTTTGGCTCGACTTGTTACTTGAACAAAATTTTAAGCTATTTTAGAAAAAAAGCTCGACAAACTCGGCTCAGGTTCGGAAAACTCGACTCGATTATCATCCCGACATATGAATGTTCATCTCAGCCCAAGCCAATAACATTTTTCCATCTCTTAATCAAGAGAAAACTAATTAAATTCCTTTATCCCATCTTAATAGAAGAAGAATCATCCACATAGCAGTAGTTGTTAGATGCTACAAATGAAACACCATTTTTGAGAGTACTGATTGCCAACCCAAGCAAAGGGGGAAAAACTATACTAGAATGTGTGAGAAACTGCAAGGATTGGGAAGAAAATGGTAATTCAATATGCAAATTTTCTCTCTCCAAAAGAATCTTCACATATAAATCAACTTGTGCTCCTAAAATGGTGACATTAGTATGATTTTTACCAACCTATCAGTTTCTCTTGATCTAAGTTCTCAGTTTTTGTTGGGTGCATCATGCTAAGTTGCTAACAGCATAACTACACACTTTTCCTTGGATTATTTGACTTTTGAAAGAAATAATCTTCTAAACGGCGTAAAAAGTGTATCCAGTGCACGAGACTTCTGTCATTGCGGGGTCTGAAGAGAGTTAGATGTAAGTTGCAAACAAAGAGACTTTTTTTGCGATCCGAACCCATGACCTCCAAATACTACAAATGAATTAAAAAATAACAAATAAATACCTAAAGCAATAAAGCTAATAGGTACTACAAATGGTAACCAAATTTCCAGATTATTTCAAGTTTCAAAAACAACTTATCAAGTTTTCATCTTCCAAAGGAGAAATCAAACCTACATGTTCCTTTTGCCCAACTTGCAATGCATTTTTTTATGTTTGAGGCTCATACACACAAGAAACTATTCGATCACCTCCTTCAAATATCAACGAATTAACTCCTAATTTTCCAACTGTTATACTCATTCAGATTGCAAATTTTCATTATCTGAAATTCTGTGCTTGAGCATGAAATCAGCCAGTGTCATTCTTCTTCTATGTCCATACTCCTGATACACCATTAGACAGATTTCTGGAGATTTCGAAATTTAGTTTCCCAACAGATTTCTCCAAAAATAGAGCTCTCAACCAAAGTAGTGAAGATTGAAGTTACAAAATCCTCAACGAAGGCAGAGGATCTTAAGTACTGCAATTAACCCAACAGACAGAATCCAGCAATCTAGATGACCCTAGATTATACATAAGAACATCACCTGAGATGTTACATATCTGAGACAAATCTAAAGTACACTCCAGAACAAGCTCAACAATGGTTACAATAATACTTCTACTACTACTAATAATAAGAGTAGTTTGAATATCTCAGCAAATAACTCTACCTAGGTCATGTTTGGTGTTTATCTTTGACAAAGCTAATCCCAACCCAAATAAAAAGGGGTCATGTAGATGTGGGCTAAGGAATGTGTTGCCTGAAGCTTTCAACATCCCGGAAGGACAAGGAGAGCATTGAGAGGTTGAATCCATACTAAATAAGATGGCATAGACATAAAATAGGATTGATGGACAAATGCCAAATGCCACATAAGAAGCTTTTATTGACCTTTTTTGCTAATCTAACAGGTGACATCCTAGATTTCTTCTAGTTTTAACTTGAGGGTTATTGGACCTTGGAGTATGGCATCTGACATGAATAGAGCTGAGGCTATGTATAACCAAATCCAACTACTGAGGGAGCAAGGAACATGTGGCGTTTATCAACTACCCAAGGTTAAAGCCTTTGTAAATTAATTTACCCCCAAAATATCCAACTTACCCCCCAAAATACTGTATCTTAGGGATGAAACCAAATTCAGAAACAGCAGAAGGGAGTTTAATTTATGATTTTCATCTCAAGTTATCGAGTCATTATATGAGCTACCACGGAAGAGATGATGGGAAGTGGTAGTATCTATCAAATTACTTAATGTCGAGATCAAGTTCAGCAACTTCTTTCCTACAGCTTCCAAGTGGTGAACAAAAGCATCAATCTAAGCATGACAGCCCAAAAAACTACCTAACTAATTTTTAAACATGACAGCCAAAAAAACTACCTAACCACTACCTCAACAATCAGTACCTAAAGAATTTAACTTCATTTAAAACGACAGTTTCGCACATATGTGCGAAAGACTTGATTCATTGAAAAGCAAATGAACTGAAAAGCATCAACCATTGGAGTTCCAAATCAAAGAAATAGTAAGCTATCGAAGTTTGAACATGCAATGACAAGTGTAATAAGCACAAAATGACATAAAAAAAAAAAGGATTCTCAAGGTGAATCAGTAGACCTGCAAGACAGGTCTCTTGCCAAGCCTCTTGATTTCTCTATCCATTTGACCAGTAAGCATCAACCCAAACATTTTGAAATCACACAAAAGAGACCAAACAGGGTGACCAAACGTTGCAGGAACATTCCCTTCAACGAAGAAATGGCTGTACCAGGCCAAGCCATACCCAAACAAAGGCACAAAGATCAAAAACCACCAGTTAAAGACCACAGAATACATCAAACACAACATACTACAAAGGGTGCCCACAAAGTGCCAACGCCTTGTTGCTGGTTTTGAGTGTTGGCTCATGTAGAAGGACCAAAACTCTTCCATGCTTCTGAAATTCATAGCTGCAACAGGAACAAATTGAACACAATATCTTCCTGAAAAACCTCAATCAGAAATGACCCAAATCGGAATCTTAACTGAATAAGTTCTTGCAAAACCCTCACTAGTGAAAAGATCCAAAATTGGTTTCCAGGTTTGACTGGCTTTTGTAAAAGAACAGTTGGTATTGGCTATGGACGGCTAGAGCCTAAGCTCATCAGTTCTTGGGCATATGATTGAATTGAAATGTTCGAATTTGGAACCAAACCCAGAAATTTGTGAGTAAAAATAGTTCTGTGTATGATTCAAAATCCAACAAAAAAATGATTTGGGTGGTTGACTCAGTTTTGAGCAGGTTTGGCACCTGGAAGTCTCCCCACCTACTACTGTGGAGACTGTTCTGTTTGGTCTGGTTAGATATAAGAAAGAGGAGTGTTTTTCGGATTGAAGGGCGGATGGTTGCTCTCTTTTGGTCTGTGAAGAGATGATAATCGGTTGACGGGTCTAATACGGAACAGTTTCATTGTTCCTATCGTTTGTAGATGTGTGATGACAAAAGTTTTGCGACGTTGAAGAAATCAAATGGTTGGTCCCTGTTCTTGCTTTATTCGCCAGACAAGAGACATATTTGTCCATTATTAATGTAGGTGTTCCCTTTGGCCAATAGTTTGGAGTAACCTATTTAAATACTTGAACCAATTGTAAGTATACCTCCTATCAGGATACTTCTATCAATGTTTAATCAAAGGCCAAGAATTGTCGTTGACATTTCCTAAAAAAAAAATTTCCACTTATCCGTCTGTACATATTGTCTCATGTGAATATTGTCTCCTCGACAACACAGAGCTAAGTGTTGAAGAACAAGTTTAACTCTATCAAATTGTTGTAACTGTAGAGATTTGAACTCAAACATTGAATAATGAAATTCGAATTCTTATCTATTAAACCAACCGCTCGGTGGTATATTTGCTAACATTTGCACAAATGACATATACCATCCTCATTATTATTTTATGAAGTTGTATGAGACAAATCTTATCTTCGTTGGAATATATTGTATTCATACAAAAATGTATGTTTCAATACTCAATTTTATCACGGGTATAAAATTGAAATTCTTTTTCGAAGCTACTTCTAATGAAAATTAAATTTACATGAATCCAAACACCCTACCCAGTACCCAAAAAAGAACACCATACCCACCTTCTTTCAGTTTTCAATCTCTCCCTAAAAAAAAATAAATTAATTCCCTATTCCCCTTAGCCCCTTCCTCCAGTAGCTCCCTCTTGTCAGCACCACCCTTAGCCTCTAGTTCCCTTTCCCTTGCAGCCCTCCCTCACTCCCACTACCATGCACAGCACCTACAGCCATGAACCCACCCCCTCCAGCAGCACCTGGAACAACCCCCCTCCACTGTCTCAAAATGAGCATTATGAACACATGTACTAGACACCTTGTGAGTCTGATTATATAGGTTATCTATCTACAATTCAACTGACGCTACTGTTTCTGTGTCTACCCTAGTTGGTGACCCTTTATTTTTGTAGCAAAAAAAAAAAAACAATGCTCCAATTTTCTGCCCTTCAGTTGCAAAGGCCAAGGGAAGACAAGACAAAACGATAACAAATCAAAAATAAATAAATACACTTTTACTACCACTTAGAGTGCAACAAATTGGCATAGCAATTTCTTAGACATGTCCTTCTTCACCATGAGAATCTGGAATCAAAGCTTAAGCCTGCCTAACGATGGCACAACTGTCAACTTGCGAAAAATACAATATCGATCTCTCTTCTTTCAACCAAACCTACTAGAAACTGACATTTTTTGCGGGTCTAAAGAACCCTAAAAAACAATATACATGCCGAAGTGATTACTCACTTTAAACCACACATTGAAAAAATGACTCAATAGTTGAAACAATGAATATGTGCACCTGTTCCTCCTTCTCTTATGGATATGCCCTGATAATTATTATTGTATATAACTGGTTCGTTTTTTTTTTTCATTCTAGAATACCCTCTCACCAGTAGCGTATAGGTTCCAAAAGATGGTTGTCAGAAAATAGAGACCAGCTGTGACAGTTAAGAATGCTTGGAAGGATCCCAACCACTGCACAAAGTAACCTGTTCCAATCGTACTAACTATTGCTGCCAATGTCCCAGCAGAATTTGAGATCCCTGTTTGATAAGTTTATCGTATAAAAACTGTCACTATTTCACGAACTGGTAAACAAAAAATTTAGATAAGACATAAGGGTGGTTTCAAAAACATACCATGGAGGAATCCTGCATACTGCGGTGCAATATCCTGAACAAATAAACGTGAGATTAAAACCATGATAATTGTAATGGAGGGTAAACTAGTTGTCACTTGTCAGTGAAAAACTATATATAGATGTTAAAGCATTAAAGGTTCCAGTTCTATGGTTAAAACTTAAAAAGTTTTTGCAATAAATTTGGATCTTACCTGCATATTCAGCAGAAAGCCTGCTTGACTGAAAGCGCTCAAGCTTAGAGCCACTGTGATCAACATGGCTGCAGCCACTGGTGTCTTGGCGTAGTTCAAGCATAGCAATGCCATCCCAGGTCCAATGAAACCGATAGACTGTCATGTTCAATGAAAAGAGTTTTGGTATTAACTTCATAAGAAGTACATACGGTAAAAAGGTAACAGATGGTTAAATGTACCCATATGAGATGTTAATTTGTTTAACTTGTACTTCTTTTCTTTACTAGTTCCACTTGAAAGAGGTGACGATCAAGAAAACCGTGATCCAAATCTTAGTTAACAAATAAAAACAAGGACTGAATTTCGAGTCATTTGTTGTAATATATATGCTTGTACTTTCTCAACCTTTGGTGGTGAACCATTCAGTCTCGATGATATTCACCATTATAAGCTGCTGCTATTATCATTTCCAACTCTTGATTATGGTGCAAACAAAGCAATAAGCATTGATAAATCATAATTTTTAAGAGGAACTTCAGGGTAGTTTTTTCCACTTTCTAACAGTTGTTTATTCTGTCTTCGCTCCAGATGATGGTTAAACAGTTACCTGCATGATTTTCCGGACTAGTGTTAAAGAATATCCTCTTTTGATTAAGAAATCTGATGCTGCCCCAGCAAAGTAGCCAGATATTGCCATGGTTCCCCATGGGACCGCACTAAACCAAGCCGCTTGCTTCAAATTAACATTGTACACCTGTTGAAACAACAGCAAAACTTCATATAAAACTTGTAAGGTTAGTTATCATAGTCGCATACCACTTTTGCAGACTCTTCACCATGGTGAGTAGCCAGTAAAGATGTTCGAGATCAGCCTACTTTATTTAAAAATTGTGGCAATTGTTCATGAAAAAGTTAGCCAAATTTCCTGTGGTCAGTAGATAAAACTATATCTTAGATGATGTCTCTCTTGATGAATAGCAAACAAAAAATTTAAGACATCTGTATCAAGTTACTACATACCTTTAGAAAAATCCGGTCCAGAGGAAAGAGCAAAAGCTCATGAGTTGGTTCTAACGCCCTATCTATAGTATAGTAAAGGGGCTTTTCAATAAGGCTCGCGCTAGGCGCTCACGCTTTTTGGCTTCCCTAAAATCGAGAATTTTGAAGTTCGTAAAAACCCGCCCCTTGTTTCAGTCAGAATGAGTCCCAAGTTGCACTACTATCAACCCATTGGGAACGTATGCAAGATAGTACCAATAAAGAGTAAAAGCAAAATAGTAGAAGTTCCAGGAGATTGTTACTCACGGTTTTAAAATATACAGGCATCCAAGAGAGGAGAACAAAGTAGCCCTGCATTCAAGAGAATGTTCCATATTCATTAAGTATGACCTTCAACATTAACCAGTAGCACAATTTATTCTCATTCCTCTGGGAAGGAAAAAAGGGGGAAAAAAGAACAAGAGAACCTACCCAATTGTTAGTAACATTAGCAAAAATAATGGCCCATGTAGGCATCTTCGAAAAAAGGAGACGCAGAGGTGGAAGCTTGCCCTTGTTTACAGGGGAATCTGATTTTCCAGCTTGGATTAACCGCAGCTCTGATTTACTGATAGAATGGCTTTCTTGTGGATCATTTGTGACTCGAGAGGTCCATGTCGTTAGCCAGAGCAGTCCGAGAGATGAGAAGAGAATGAAAGGACCGGCAATTCCAATTGATGACATTGCCAAAGGAGTTATTACTAAGCCCACAACATTTCCAAGGTGAAATCCACCCATAGATAATCCAACAGCAGTAGCGCGTTCATGGCTAGGAAACCACCTAATGAAATATAAACATATTTACTGTCATTATGCGGAATTGCTATGCCAAGCAAAAAGTTCCTTTACCTCCACAAGCGGTTCAATTTCCAGATTCAAAATCTAACTACATAGACTTAATACGAAAAAAATATCAAACCAAGGTCTCAGGCTTGTCATATGTGCAGCTAAAGATCATCAAAATCCAACTTGACTAACAACCTAATCTTGCAACACTGAGCTTGGCTAGATCAGGCATGTGATTGAAGTTTCTAGTATGGCTAGATGAACATAAATATAGCCTGATTAAACCATGCTTTGATTGGTTAGCTAGGCCTAAAGTCACTTGTTAAAGAATTATCACCTTGACAAAAGGGTATTCATGGAAGGTAGAGCTACTCCTTCAGCGAATCCAAAGAAAGCACGAACAGCCAAGAGGCTGGCTGTTGAATGGTTTGCCGCCCAGGGTGTGAGCAGAGTTGCTAAAGACCACAATGCCACGCCCCAAGCAATCACTCTCTTTCCTCCATATCTGTCAACCAAGGCTCCTCCAATAACTGATGAAAATATGTATCCCCATAGGAACGATGACTGCATATGATCAGGACATAATCGCGATCAAAACATAGGAATGACAAAATACATAATCTTTACTTCTTGATTGCAACATAATGTCGATTTTTGTTGTTGTACTATGTTTAGTTATAAATTGACCTAACAAAAATTATAACTTTTAATCCAAAACATTATAATTTCAGTGCCGTACCCTCTATTCTACCATATTTTTTTTAAAAGATGCAACACGAACACGAAGACTTTCCAGTGTCACCCAGTACTACTCTCGGCCAAGCTACTCAACCATGTTATTAACCACAATATGGTATATACACATGTAATGGCAGATAACATGTAAACATCAAGAATACAAATAATCTTCCAAGCCCGCCATCAAGGACCAGCCAAAAGAGGGGGTGGTACATCCCACTTCCACTTCAGTTCTTGGTGAAGTTCGGAGGGCCCAAGAAACTAAACAATTCTTCCCACTTAGATTGTGACACGTGGCAAGCCAAAACACGACAAAGAAGTCTTTCGTCACATTAGTGGAACCCACGTTTAGGGTTTTGTCAAGGAAGTCTCCCGGTGACAGCCAACCAACAACATTTATTTATTTATTTATTTTTTTTTTTTGTATTATGCGGAAGTTTGGGTCGAGTTACGGTGAATCTCTGACCAATTCTCTTCGCTCTTCCATTGAAGATAGATAATTTATATCAGGACTAAGGAATTGATAAATGACCCGATTTCAAAGAAGTTGCTAAATTTCAAAACTAAGATATCTAACTTCACGACTTATGATGTCTGCACTGGACTATCGGGTTAGGGACATGGCCCGACTCCAAAAAAGTTGTGAAGGTTCGAAGTCGGAAGTAGGAACGTATTGTGATTAACTTTTAGTTCTCAACAACCACAAAAACATTTTCACTTCCCAAAATTGAAATTGAAAATCACACGGCAACTAGAAGAAATCTTCAACTAAACTTTCCGGGAAAAGGGTAGAGAAAATCTCAAGGAAAAGAAAATGATGGAACATGGAAGTTCACCAAACACTTGACATCATGACAGAGAGAGAGAGAGATAAAGTTGGAGTTACCTGGACAATGCCCAAGAAAGAGCTGTTCCAGCCATGTTTGGCAGCTAGGGGAACAATGGCCACGGACATAACAACTCTGTCTGCATTGCACAAACACATAACACACGCCATTAAAGCCACCACCTTGAACCTCTCCGGCATCTCGAATCTACCTTCTTCTCCTCTCCCTCCCACCAGCAATCCCCTCTCTATCCCCTCTGCCGTACACCTCACAACACATCCTCTCTGTCTCTTATTGATCTCCACAGGGTGCTGAGTTCTTCCTATTCTTACACCACCCCCCACTGACAAATTGACCCATTTTCTTGGAACATTTGGTTGAAATCCCAAATGGGTTTTCCTATAATAGATCGAACTTAAATGGGCTTTGAAGAAACTTGAAGAATTTGGATTAGAGGGATGTAACCGAGATCTTGTGGGTGTAACGGTTGCCATAGAGAGAGAAACTAGATTGCTTCTATGGGTATAATGCTAAAATGGATCTCCTTAAATGAACCAAAATGAACCATTAGAATAATGATTGCAATTCTATCATGAGGTTGTTGATAACAATGGAGGGATATTACCCAACAAAAAAAAAAATTGACAAACAAGACGGTTTGTTTTGGGTTCGGTGGGAATTGGAGCCTAGTAAGTAGCCGTGGTCATCCTAAAATAGAACTCTCAAGGGTATTTCCGTCCATGAAGATATCTCTCCTACGTAGCACTTACGTGTCTCTCTCGTCGGTTGCTGTTGCCACCAACCACCGGGGAACTGGGTGGCTGATAGCCAACTACCACCATTCTTGGGAGTGATACCGGCAACAGGCGGTACTAATTAAGCAAGGGACCATACGTTTTGCAAATGAGTAATAAAAAATTTCGTATAGATGAAATCAATAAAAAAAATATATATATATCACTCGTTTTATTTGTATATTAATTATATATAAACATAATATCAATATAATATAATATAACTTGTCAAACATAAATTAATAAAAAAAGTATATATTAATATTTAATCCGCACTCATTTCACTTCACACAATTTACCAAGGTAGCTAAAGTGTATGGTTATAACGATGGTGTGTAGCCAGTGATAGTTTAATACAGTAGTGTGGTGATTTTTGGGATGGTTCGTCTATGTGGGTCCCAGTCAAAATGGCCACATGGACGGTTCTGGGATCTTTGAATATTTCAACGACGGCACATATATATGCGGCGTAACGCACACGTTTCAAAATTAACTGTTCGGTAAAATGGTACAACAATAAAATATTGTGGGCCCTATTTTAGTAAGAGTAGTGTGGCTGCTAGCTGTCAGATTGAATTGGATTTAAATAACACCCGATCCCGATCCAAATCCAAATGGATGGGTAATTAACAATATTATTTAGGGTTAATTATAAAACATTGTCTTGAATTATGAATTTTGTTTCAATCAGCTCCCTTAGGTTTAAAGTTGAACAATTTATTCCCATCTAATATTAGAATGAGCAAAAAAACAATGGGTCTATGTCAAAGGTAATAATAAAATGCAAAGTCATGAACAAAAAACAACCCAATGAGAAGATGTTATACAAAAAGAAACCCACAAAAAAACAAATCAGGTGCATGCAAAGCATACCAAACACACAAACCCCATCAATGACTCATACGAACCATATTGTTCATGCGAAACAATTCATGGCCATTTCAAACACCTTTTCCATACCATAATAGATTACCTTCAGTTGGTCTTCAAGCTCAATCGCTATTGCTTCATTCGAGGAGATCGTCTACTACGAGAAGGATTTGCAAAATGCATAACAGAGTTAGAAAATAGGATCCGGAATGTTGAAAGTGGGTTAGTTTTATTTATCTTAGATTATATTTGCCAATTGTGATTAATTTTTTGGCGTTAATTCATCCACCATGGTTAAAGATATTTTTGGAATTTCACAATCCCAATCAAGTCCGTTAATCAACTTGCTCATTCTGGAACTTTCTGGGGGGAAATTATTCAATTTTAAACATGAGGAAATTGATTGAAACAAAACTCATAGTTCAAGGGGATATTTTATAATTAACCCTATTATTTATTACAAATTTAATGATATAATTTGTTGATTTAATTCATTATAATTATTGAATTAATAGTGAATCCTAAAAAATATTGAAAATCACTATCATACTAATAACAGTGAGTGATTTGATTAATAAAATATGTCAAAATAGTATTGTTCATTTATTATTACTCAAAATAAACATTAATGATATAATTTAGACCGGATTTTAGACAGCTCATTAACCCCAAAATTGACACGTGTAAAGATGTAGTCATTATGGAACTCAAAGACGCTGAAAAATAATGGCTCGGAGAAGCCAAGTATATAAATTGACACCAGCATTTAAGATGACTTGACAACTTATTTATGGAGATGTGAATGACTGAGACAGGACTATTAATGACCTCCTGCATCTTCGAGACCCAAAGAAGTAATCATGATTGCGAAGCATTAATGGCTATTGAGCTGAGTATATCTCCTTAGCGCACCCCGAGGTACTGTTTCTCCGAGCATTGAGTAGGTGTCAAAGCGCCAATCAAAAGACTTGAATGACGGGGGATAGGGGCATAAGTGCTCAGTATATCCCGAGCAGTCATCTTATCGCCCGAGTAATCTAGGCTCGAATATCTGAATAAAGAACATTCATTATATATGGGTAAGAGTGCAAATCATTAAAAGTTGGGATGAGATTTCAAGCCTTGACACTCATTACGAATCCAGGTATAAAATATTTCTTAGAAAAATGAACAAAGGTATGCAAAATTAAATTGAGAAGAAAATAACACTGTGCTACAACCTCCAACCTCATACTGACTTAAGTTTCGGAGGGGATAAACCGGGTATTCACCTGACCTCTTTTCTAATCTTGTGGTTGTCTCAGGTTTATCATCGAAAGAATTGATATCTCAATCTATTACAGAAAATGTCCCGTGCAATTTTAATATGATAACTTGATTTGATTCGAATTTGTATGAAAAGATGATTAATGTTTTAATATTTTCATTTTTTGATATTGGACATAATTTTAGGATATGATTTGAGAACTTAATGCATTATGACTTGGGTGTTAAAATAGAACACGAATCGTTAACACGACACGAACGAAGACGCGAAATTAAAGAGTTTGGGTCTTCCTTAAACCAACCGTTTAGTAAATGAGTAGACTTAACACGAGTCGTTTATATACCAGTTATAAAATATACAAACTTGATATGACACGATTCGTTAGATACAAATTAATAAATGAATCGATTATGAGTGAAGTATTTTTTGACATGAATTGACTAAGACTCTACACTAAATCACCTCATCCAACACGATTAACAGACCTAATTTTGACTATTTAATTTATAATAGAGTGCATTCAATGCTAGGACCCACTAACAATTCAATTGCCAGAATTGTTAATCTCCAAATTATGTCTCAATAGAATTGCTCGCTAGCTAATTTGGTGATTTACTCAATTTTTGCCCAAAAGGTTCAACAAATTTCAATTAGGGAATTGTTCTATAAACATAGAAATTTTATGTTACTTGCACTGATGGATGATTGGATCTGGTTTGCGTGATTGATCATATTTGCAACTTGAATCATAAAAAAATAGTAGTTTTTCCACGTCAAAACAACAATTACATTAACTTTGATCCCACAAAACAACGATTACATGAAACACGTTATATTCAGGTCATATTGTTGGGGTTTGTGGATCTTGCTTTGTGACAATTAGGGGTGTTCAAATTTTTGATTGACCGTAATTTCTTACCCTACCCGACCTTACTTTACCCTATTGAATGACTAGCCGCAAAAATCGGGTAGGAATGTGAAAAAGTTTTTTGTCTTCCGATTAAATCGGGTAGGAATGCAGAATACCCATCAATTTTTGCATTCCTACCCTACCTTACCCGTAAAAAATATATTTAACTTTTTTATATTTTTTTAGTAATTATAAGAGTATTTGTGTGATATAATTTATATTATAACATTGTTATTGTTGTGAATGTTTGAGTTGCTAAAACATAGATTTATTTTTTTTGTATGTTAAATGATTTGTGGTGAACTAGTGATCTATTTAAGCAGTTATGATTTTAATGTGTTTCATATGGTTTAAATTTAAAATAATTATTATTGTATTTGTATAATAATTATGATGGATTGATGTTCATGTTTTTTTATGTTTTATTGTAATTGTTGTTGTATTTGTTTTAAATTTTAATGTTATTAATTTATTGTATTGTTAAATTAGTGCATGTTATTTAATTGAATTGTTAAAATAAGCTAAAAATTATTAGTTACAAGTGTTTACCCGACTTCCTACTTGATTAATCAGATAGAAAGTTGAGTAAGAATATCATACCTAATTGGGTAGGATATGCTAAGAAAAAAATTTTGTGCAAAATATCGGATAGGAAGACGAAAGATTATATTTCTTACCTGTAGAGTAGGATAAACACCCCTTGCGACAATGTTTTGTTCTTAAAACAAATAATCTTGTTTTAGTTACAACAAAAATAGAATGAGTGACATATGATATAAGTAGAAGCCAATTTCCACTTGATCAATAAAAAAAACTACAATATTTGTATGTTTGTTGTGCATTATTCTGTCTACCTCAAGTAACTTTTATGTAGACCCCTAGGTATTTTTTGTTTTTTGGGATGAAAAAAAGGGTTCAACCGGATTAGGCCTGACAATCGTGTTGAGTGGAATGATTTTGTGTCTGGTGAAATGAGTTTGTGTCAAAATAATTCTCCATCCATACCCTATTCATTTATATAAATAAGTCCAACTATCACATTCATATACGAATCATTTATTAGACGGGTTACCCGATACAACTCATGTGTCACTTGTTAAATAAGAGAATAGATTAGATAATTTCAAGTCTACATGAAAAATCATTAACTTGTTATATATTATACATGTTTGACCTTTTTGCTATAACAATAAATTATGGCTGAATAAAAAATAAAGACAAAAAATAAACATTAAATGATTACTAAATTTGAATGATTCTGAGAGATGGAAGGTGTGAGATGAGACAGAGGCTGAGAAACTTAACTTGTTTTTTAAAAATTTATTGTACCACTGCTAACGGATTAAACAGATTGAAACGAGTTTATGGGTTAAATAAGAAACTGGTTCGTTTATATCACGGGTCTGCCGAGTTAACTCGTTAACCACCCGAACTCGTTGGGATTACACCAAAATCAGCTAATTTCGTGTCGATTTTATGAGTCGTGTCTAGAATTGTCAGGTCTAGATGGGATCACCGAGTGAGGTGGTCTAATGGGATATTGGTCAAACTTCTTATTTTAAGGGTAGATGTTTGAGTCTTGAAATTTACATTGTGGCTCGATGGTTAACCGCTATTTTAATTTAGGTAAATTCATTTTTGAGAGGATTAACGGGTGCAAGTAGAAGTCTGATAATCCCATTAATAATAGCTTTTATTACCCAGCAAAAATAAAAAAGAAGGATTTGAGGGGCAGTCTGGGTAGACGTGATCCCAACAACTCGAACCCACGAGAGAAACCCACCGATGAGACCAAATCTAGCCTAAAAAAAAACAAAAAACAAAAAACAAAAAACATGGAAAGAGTCAAAAATGTGGACTGTTGGATTCGGAATCCAATTTGTAGTACTGTTTGATCTTAATGAGCCAATCAATGCAGAAAAACAAAAGAAAAAAAAAACAAGTTGGTGGGACTGGGTAGGTAGGTGCTAAAGATAATTAGAAAGAGTGCAGCCTTGGGTTCGAAAAATATGCATATGATCAAGATCAACTACTACCGCAAGCCAACATACGAAATTCCTATGTCATATTTACGCCACACTCACAAAAAAAAATATAACTTTTGTGGGCAATAATGACTACATTTGTGAGTATTTTTATCGTTATTGTGGTAATTATTTTTATTATTTTTTTCAGTATCATATAAAAATATTTAAAAATGTGATAAAAGTCAAAACAATACACTTTTTTTTTGGGGTACAGTAAACAACTCCTAATGATACTATCATTTTTCTCCATCTAAAAAAAATATTCTCTTTATCTCCTAATGAAAGCAGACACCCAACTACCCATCTGAATGGTAGATTAGGTGCATCCCCCATCATCAGCCACAAAATCCAAACTCTTTCCCACATTAATGTCTTAAAAACGAACTCCAATCAAATGAAGCTGGCGACGGAGATAGTCATAGGACTGAACCAAACGTAAACAAGAGTTTGTTGGATGAAAGTTGCACTTTTCCGCCTTTTTAGGTATGTACTTTAATTTAATTTAAGTTACGGTTACTAATTATAAAATTTAAGAGAATAATCGATACAAATTTAAATATTTTATAAAAAAAATTAAGTCGGGTTGTATCATTTTTAAACCTTATTATTTTGAACTCGTACCAACTATAGACTCTTATACACTAAGAAATAATTTATAAAGTACCATTATGTCGTAAACAAATTAGAATAGTACATAAAGAAAATGACAAATTTCATTTATGTAATACAAATAAACAATGTCAATGTTGAATATTTTTACACCTATATTTGTGGGGCATATTCCCTGTCTTATCTCCCATGTGGTATTATGCTTGTAGTCACGGATCCACCAAAACACATACACTACATATGTGTGTGGTTGGTAGGTGGGAGATAGAGAGATACTCATGGAAAGCAAAGTAAGACTAATCAACCAAACGCGGCGGCTCCATGGTGATCAGGAGACGATCCGATCCGTCCACTCCACCGCAGCCACATTGGTTAAGTTTTTTTTTTTTTTTTTTTGTGTGTTTTAACGTCCCGACTATATGGAGTAATTTACGTGTAATTTGATTATTTTTTTTTTGTTCAGTTAAAAATAGATTATCCACGTTGATATTAAAATATCTATGAAAAATAAATCTCTTATTATTTGATCCAAAAAAATTATCAAAATTTGAACTTAAAATGTCTGAATTTACAGTTCGTCTCTATTACCTATTAAACTACGTACCACTAAAGGTTCGGTGAAGTTGGTACCATCACATAAATAGTGTTATGAATACTCTATCAAATTATTATATCAAACTCAACTGTCAATATTTTCGCAAGATTTTTCACTTTATACCTTTTGACTATTAAGTCTAATTTAGTGAACCAGCTTCTAAAAAAAAAAAAAAAAATTTCTTCCAAATAAAGGGCTGGACCAGACGGCCCATGAATGTGATATATTCTAATTGGGCTCTGTAAAGAAGCCTTAGAGGTTCCAATTGGGCTTTGTACAGAAGCCTTTTAAGGTTGCAATTGGGCTTCATTTCACCGAAGAGTATAAACATGACCTGTAAAAAGTGAGTAGGCCCTTTTTTTTGCGGGGCCCAATAATCCATCTTGAATAGAAATCATAACGTAACGCTCAGAATAGGGACGTCAGTAGCCTGAAACGGGAGTGGAGAAAGTAGTTTTTATTTTCGTACCTGCTTAAAAAAATTTCATCCATCTCTAGTCCATCTCCGTTAACAGGTATAATTTTCATCTTCATTTCCGTCCACGGATAAATTTCTAATCTCCGTCTCCGCTTCTCCCGTACACGGCCAAGCCTAAACCCAAGCTCTAGAAACATAATTTAAAATTTTAAATAAATTCAATATTTTAAATAATCTAACAACATTCTAAATAATCTAACATAATCTAACACAACATAACGTAGATTGTAAAATATAAAAGCCAAAATAATATAGTATTCTATTTAAAGTGTCATTGAATAAAAAAAAAACGGAACTATTAGAAAGAAATGAAGAAAATGAACAAAAAATTGAACTAAAAAAATAATAGCATTACACTAGAAATTTTCTAGAAAAAATTTGTTATTACAATTCATATTACAGTCATAAAGTGTTAAAAAATAAAAAATTAAAATTTTACTAATTTAATAATTCTCTCAATTTATTTGTTCATTCTAACAGAAAATTTCATCAACCTCCATTATCAATATTTTTTACCCACGAAGAAATGTAAAATTATGTTACTCTATCTTATTTGTTTTTAAAGCATGGTCAATCCAAACTCCTAACAGTTTTAATCAATGAGCACAAATAAAAAAAATAACAATCAAGAAAAGAAATTAATAAGATTATCACATAATAATATCACTTATTAATTTAATTACTATATGTAATTACAGTAAACATGTTTAATTAGGGCTAAAAAATATATTTATTTATATATATATAATGGGTAGCGGGAGCGGGGAGCGAGGAGACGAGGCGGGATAAGGGTAAGTTTATTCTATTTTTATTTTTGTACAAATTTATATTCTCTATACGTTTACCGTCTAATATATAAGTATCTCCGATTTAAGAAATTTGGACGAATACTCGTTTCGTCCGGTACTCTGCCGTCCCTACTTCAGTCAGAAGGTCATTTGACCTGATTTCCCGCCCCCACCTTTCTCTCTCTCTACCGTGAATGATTCTCTATAAAGAACAGAACTACTCCTCAAACCTCAGTAAGACCCGCAGGACTAGAACAAGACGAAAGCAAAACCGTTCGCTTTGCTGTCTCAGTAGGGTTTCGAATCAAAGATGAAACCCAATCGTAAGCTGAAGAAACCAAACAAGTCTCCCAAGGTACATTTCTCAATACCTCTTCTCATTGCTCCTCTCACTCTCTTCCCCACATTCAAAATCCTAATAATCCGTAGTTCATGATTTTCTTCGTGACCTAGCGCCAAATATCACTAGTGCAACTACAATTTTTTGAATGTCAGTTTGATATTTGATTTTGTTTGAATTTGCAGCTGATTTTGGAGGAAATAATTGGCTTGACGACGAAGAATGCCAATGGATTGGCTTCGAGCATTTCGAATTCAAATGTTGTTTATATAGCAGGTTGTGTTGTGGTGGTTTATAATGTTGATTCGGGCACTCACTCCTACCTCATGGTATCTAATCGGACGCCAAAACCTCTTAGCTGCGTCGCAGTCTCACAGGATGGAAATTTTATTGCAGCTGGAGAAGTATACTACCTCACTTCATTACAAGCTTTTCTGCAGAAATATATGGTGTTTTCTTAGTTAGTTTGGAATTGGTTTTATGAAATTGAATATTCAAAACTGAGGAAATGTAGGGTGGTAACTTTGTGTTGCTTAGGCTCATTTGCGTGGTGCAAAATGCTACAACTAGGATCTCTTGGACATATCGAGTGTTGTATCCCAATATAGAATAAGCGTAAATCATACGAGCAAGCATGGTACTTGCCTAATTTCATTCTACTGACTTTATTTATAGACATCAAACTAAAAACACAATCTCGTAAACCATTGTCGTTTTGGAATTTCAAAATAACATGAAGTACAGAGGTGGGTAAGTGCAGTAACCTGTTCTTTTTTGCAATTGCTTGTTTTGTATGTCTTATTTTTTTTTCTTTTTTCTGTCTTTCAATATATCCGTCTTTTTTTTTTTTTTGAAATATATTTATTGGGTGGTCGAGCTTGAAGGGAAATGTTGCATTTCTCTTTGGAAAAAGCCTTGAAATGGAACAATTTTTTCTTTAGCAAAAGTGATCATAGTCAAAATATGTAGACCTATTTGGAAGTACTTAGTCAGTTAAAAATGTCAAGTTATAATGTGTAGTGAAGTACTATGTGAAGTGTTAGCAAGAATTTTTGGCCTTATTTTGCAGTCAGGGCCTCAACCTGCAGTGCTAGTGTGGGACTTTGCTACTGCAGCTATTGTATCTGAACTAAGAGGCCATCAATATGGAGTGGCATGCATGGCTTTCTCACCTGATGGTTAGTTAGAACAAGTCAGTTGGATCTTCTACACCTTTTTTCATATATGTTCATTTATACACTTCTAATTACAATTAGTTCTTCAAAATTTGTGTCCATTACTGAACAATGTACTACCATTATTCTCGGCTTCTAATTTTGCAGGTAAACATCTGGCATCCGTTGGATTTGCTCATGATGGATACCTCTGCCTTTGGCATTGGCAAAGTGGGATGTTAGTGACAAAGCTTAAAGCATGTTCATCTTGTTCTTCTATTGCATCAGTTAGCTTCTCATCAGATGCAGAATTCATTTTAACTGCTGGGAGAAAGCACTTGAAGTTCTGGGCGGTTGGATCATCTACAAAATCTCATGCAAATATGAGGGCATGCTCACTGGTAATGCATGGGAAGCCTGTTAAACTCGCTCACCACAAAGGATGCTCATTCATAGCTGTTACATCTCCCCATTGGAGTGAAGGTGGTCTTATTGATTGCCATCGTGCTGGTGGATTTTTACCTATTTATGCATTGACAGATGCAGGTGGACAATTGACTTTGCATTCAAGTCTGTTATAATCGTTTTATTTTGAGATTTTTGTCATCTTGTGTGATTCATAAATTCGTCTTCTTTTGTTTACAGGTGTTTTATGCCTTCTAAATTCAGGGTTGTCTATCAGAAATTCAGTGGACTTAAAGGTACACGTGGTTGTCTATTATAACGAGGCCCAGAAGGCAGTAAATATATCACATTATCAGTGATTTCAACGTTGCTATTAGCAAAATTTGTTTGATTAAACACCAGATCCAGTTTTGTAATTTATTGTTAGTGCTTAGGATGTTAATCAATGAACATGTTGAACGAGCTTGACTGTGTTGCAGTCTACGTGCTGAATGACTGATGGAACCTCAATGGTGTGATGTGAACTGACATCTTCCACAGTAGTTGAATTTTGTTGCAGTAGATATTTTAGTCTATTTCAGTTTGAACCTTTGGAATAATGTACGTATGCCATGAAGAGTCTTTCTTGTGTCAAGATTCTTATATGGTGCTAACAGGTTGGATCTATTTAAGTAAAATTCTAAAGACGATTTAATCTGCAACATTTCTTTTTTGTCTTGCAAAATGAGCTTTAATCAACGTTAAGTTTTTATGGGCACCAACTGCTGAATGGTGTTATCACATAATTATACACATGGAAAAACCACCCTAGTGAGCCCTAACTCTGAAGAATTGAGTCATTTGTTTACTTGAATTTCATCTAGTGGTCTTGCTGAAAATGTAAAATTAATTCTATCATATATTGGGGGTTTGGGCTCACTGATCAGGGCTTCTTGTGTTCCAAGGTGATCTAAATAGGCAAATTTTGCATTGATGGTTATGTTGTCATGTGCAAAAATCAGATTCCTGATAAGTGGTACATGTGCCACAAAGTGAGTGTGCGTGCACGTACATATGTCACATTCAACACATGGCAACTATTGGAGCATCTTTGCATACTGCTGCCATGCCTTTTTGAATCGTTATTTTATTGTGAAATTATATATATTATGTACATATTTTTTGCAAATCACTCTTTCATTGTTCTCACAGTTTATAGAGTCTAATTTTCAGGTTGAGAAAGGTTATGCACTATCTGCATCAAAAAAGTTGGTTGCTTGTGCCTGCAATGATGGAGTTGTAAAACTCTTCACTGTGGATTTTCTTAAATATGCTGGAAGCTTAAAATATACTGAAGCCAAAAGATGCAACAAGGCAAATGACATTGATTGGCCAGATGAAGTTAGGGACAATGAATTTCAGCCTCTTCCTTCTCTTCCTGATGCTATTGCTTGCCAATTTTCAACCTCAGAAAAACTTGGTCAGCAACAATTCCTCATATTGATGTCTTATCTTTATCTGCACCTTGAATTAACTGGCACGTTTCTATCGCAGTGGTTGTTTATGGTGACCACAGTCTCTACATATGGGATTTACGTGATGTATACAAGGTGATTGCTTAGAATTGTCAGTTGTATTTCATTTTTTTGTTTGACAAATTCCCTTGATTACTTTTTCCGTAGTTTTTGTGTGTGTATTTCTGATTGCTTAAGTCATGGGCCAGGCTGTTAGTTTGTGGGTTTTCTTAGACTAATTACAACTAATGCTCTAATTCCTTGATCTGTTACCCAGGCCATCAGGTGTTGTGTGCTAGTTTCGCATAGTGCATGCATATGGGACATTAAGAATCTTCCATGTGAAAACATGCACGATGCTTCTCTTGTATGTGTTGCTAGAGGTTGTTCCGGTGGAGTTTCTTTTGCGACATGCTCAGCAGACGGTACTATTAGGTCATGGGATCTCACACTGCAAACAGTTTTACCAGAGGAGAGTTCAGCTCCTGCTCTGGACAACAATTTGGAGAGTACTGAGCAAGTTGGCACTACATGTTTAGGTTATTTCTATGTACTGTGGCCTTTACGTGGACATACTTTTGGCACATGCCAAGTAAATTTAATGTATTATTGGTTTCAAGGTTGATTTGAATACTAGCTTAGCTTTATTGTCTCCATGTTTCTCTCTGCAGTAAGTGCTGGGCTTTTCAAATGGGATTCTGTGGTGTCTGGCAGTAGCACTCAAGGCTTTCGAGCGATGGCAGTTAGTTCCGATGGAAAGCACTTGGCTGCTGGTGATTGCAGGGGCAACCTCCATATTTATAACTTAGCCACCTATGACTATATGTGTATTCAGGTAACCCAACTAGCCAAAATAGAATCCCCAATTCTTCCAGATAAAGGCATCACCAGCAGGAATTTTTGTCCTTTTTATTTCATTCAATATGTTTCTTAATTCTGTGCTGCTAATCACAAATAAATATTGGTATGCTCTCAGGATGCTCACGATGCAGAAATCCTGTCATTGAGCTATAGCATGCCAAGAGAGAGGGACATTTTATCTAATAAAGCTTCAGAGAGCTTTTACTTCCTTGCTTCAGGGGGGCGGGATCGAATGATCCATCTTTATGATATAGAAAGGTTTGATCTGTAATATTTTGGAATTGTTCAACTTGATGAGTGAATGATTGATTTTTTGATCTTAGTTTTTCCTCTTCCACATCAGGAATTATGATCTCATTGGGAGTGTTGATGATCATTCAGCTGCTGTGACTTCTGTAAAACTTACTTGCAATGGCTCCAAGATTCTAAGTTGTAGTGCTGACAGGTGAGTGGGAATTGTTTGGAGAGTAAGGTATCAATTCATTTTTGATTCACCTAGTCTTTTGGAGGGAGCCTGTCCTATTAACTAAATGGTTTTATACTATGTTGCATGGATATGATCATGTTTTGGACTTGTGGGGATGGCTTTTTTCAAATTAGTTGCTGTTCTAGTTTTTCCCCCTTCAGAGTTTCTGGGATGCTATTCATATGCATCTCTTATGTCTCCTACTGTTATGGAGACCTTATGAAACAATTGAAACCCAAGTGTCATCCAACTGCGTGCGTGTCGGGTTAACATATTTGTTTATTTCTGCAGGTCTCTGGTGTTTCGGGATGTGGTGGTCGCCGAAAATAATTATAAAATTTCTCGTTGTCATCATCAAATGGTATCTCATGGAACTGTGTATGACATGGCTACAGATCCAATGGTGGAGGTTGCTGCCACAGTTGGGCAGGTAGAGACAGATTTTGGAAATTTTCATTTTCCTTTTTAAATAATTGGCAAATGCAAATCTTAACTCAATGGCCTCATGATTGGGTTTTTGTTCAACCAATTGGACGGGACGGCTAAATACACTCCCCTTAACATATTGCCTCATATTTGTAAATTTTTTGGACAATGGCCAATACTTAAAGGAGATATCTGCTGATAGGATAAGAAGATAAACACATTCAATGTTGCTACTGGGAAACTTATTAGATCATTCAAGCATGATACGGATTTTGGGGACCTGTTGAAGGTGAGTTATGTAAATATGGTCAGCAAGCATAGGAATACCTTCATCAAGATGATTTCATGTTTGGAACAATTATTTTTACAGGTAACTATGGACCCAAGCTGCAGTTACCTGGGTTGCTCGTACTCTAACAGGTCTGTTTGCATTTATGACTTTGTAACTGGGGGGATGGTTGCACAAGCAGCAGGGCATGGGGAAGTTATAACTGGTGTCATCTTCTTACCCGACTGCAAGCACTTGGTTTCTGTGAGTTATTCTTAATGCACAGTTCTCTTTCTTGATTACCAATGCCATCAATCTATAATCCCCCATTGGTGAATCCAGATTACATTACCCAGTCAATGCATCCTTCACACTTATAATGGAAATGTAAGAATAAGAATTTTGAAGTCGTATAAACACTTGTGTAGAATTTCAAGACTACCTTGTTGATCCTAAGTCTTTTCAAATCTTCATGTCATAATTTACTTTTCTGATAAGAAAATATTCAATTCAGAAGGAAACTATTGACAACTTTGCACAATCTTGAATTTCGTATGAGGCGTGCTTGCTCTTAACAATCGTGGTATTGCTATTTTGTGAGAATCATGTAAAGACCCAATGCTGATGCCTACTTCAGTTACTTGAAGTGCTGCGTTAAGCTTGTTATTGTTAGATACTTCTGAATTAGAGGACACGTAGAAATTAGTTGACTTTCCATTTCATTTTTAGATGTCCCCGCATAAAGAGTCAGAAAAGGCATTGCTAAAGCTTCCCTTGATGACATAAATCATTTGCGACAGGTTTTTAGTCTGTTCAGACCAACTGCTTAAAATCTTCCTTCAATGACATGATCATTTTCTTGACAAATAACGAATTATATGAAGCTGAGGTTATAAGTTAATAGTGTATATCAAGTGAACGGTGTCAATCAGATTGAGTTTCTGGTTCTGTTATTAGAGATTTGTTTTATCTACTGTCTATGGGCCAAAGCAACTTTACTGGCTCATGAATTGCCCTCTTCTCCTATTTTTCCTAGAATTTTGTGTATTGAGAAAAATTTCTCTGAGGACTTTAAGAGAGATAGGAACTAAATTTCTATTAAAAAAAGGGTGTACGCAAACTGGTCCCTGCAATTCTGGTCAGCTCTAAAGTTGTTGAATGAGTGCACATCATATTATCAAATATCATGCAGATACATATGGACACACTAACATAACTTGGAAATTAATATTATCACTGGGAAAAGAATAATATGCAGGAAGCACCCCCTCCCCCCAACCTGAAATTTTCTTTTCCGCCTTACCTTTTGCATGTTTATCTAATTTATCGATGTATTCAGGTAGATGGTGATGGCTGTATATTTGTTTGGAAAGTGCCTTCTCTTTTATCTTCAAGGATGTTGCTAAGAGTTGAGGAAAAATATTCTCCATCGTCACCAAAAGTCATGACTCAGGCAGTAGCCTTTAGTCAGACCAAGTTTCATGGAAAGGATGACCATCAACGGAAAATCAATCAAAAAGGTGAAGCTGTGGCGGAAAACACTAATCAATTCAGTCAAAGATGGCTTTGTGAAGGAGGGGAACCTCAGGAGACATCTGCATTCAAATTTAGCATTTCTAGACTTCCAAAATGGGCACAAGCCAAAGTTACTCCCCTTGATTCCATCCCCACAGACCCCGAGTCCACTTCATCCCAGGTATTTAAAATCATAGTTAGGCAACAAGTCTCACTCTAGTTTTCTTACTCTTTTGTGTCCTCTTAGTGGTTAAACTTAAAATACTATTTAACTTGCCAACTCTGAGTCATTCTAAATTTCTTCTATAATCAATAGACCTTTTTTTTTTTCCGAAAAGAATTCCGGAATTGGTGAGTGCTCTTAAAAACAGACGTCCCACCAGTTCACATTGTTTGCAAGATCAAAGGCTACCATTTTCACCAGTGCTCTATTCTAGTAGTTCACTTTACCATGATATATTTATATAATTAGTTCCTTTCATTCCATTGAATCAACTGCTTTTGATTTGTGCACCCAATTGCCTAGCATTTTCTACGATACTAACTATTGCATCAATGCTAGTTGCGGGACAACTCACCTCACTTGTATTTGATGTTGATAGTCTCCAAAAGTAACAAACACACATGACTTCTGTGGTTTCTGATTTCTGATGATCTATCGTGCTTTCATTTATTGATGCCAGCAAGTTGGACAAGAAGTTTTCTCTCCCTCAGTTGATAATGGAGGGGGAAATGCTGCTGCGTGTCATGTATTACAAACTCCATTTGAATATGATGTGGATGGTAGTAAACAAATTCGTGGTAGCATGTTCATAAATTCATCTGATACAATGTCTCCAATTTCGCCCGAAACTTGTAGGTGAGTATTTACCAATTTTGACATTGATCTCCTATCAATGGCAGTTGTTCTAGTGCTCTCTGTGGTGATACTTCACATTTGTGCTTCAGCAGCTTTTCATTGGACAGGCGTTGGTTAACCATTCATACCGTGTGTTTGGATCTGCTAAATTCCCCCGAGGTTTGGGATATGAACGATATCAAGGTGCCAACGTGTGTTTCAAATTTGTGTAAGGCCAAGCTAGTCCTTGTTCTCGCATTACATCTTTGACAGGTTGTTGTGGACCACAACTGTAGCATGTAGAATGGAAGCAATTGGAATATGTGGTTTCTTCTAATCAAGTTCATAAATTGCTGTCTTATGACAAGTTGACAACTCAGTTAAATAATTAACAGAGAAAACATGACGGAGTTGCACCGTTAGTCATGTTTTGCATGCTTAAGCTTAACACTCAGCGCTGTCAAAAATCAGAATGTAAATGTCAGGAAGCCAAATTTGTATTTCCATGCTCACACTGCCATTTTTTTCTTGTCTGAAACTTATGATTATAGTTCATCTAGGCATCTCTTTTTTCAAGTCTTGGTTTTTTTTTTTGTTACAAAAGTCGGCAAACTGGACACAAAAAATGGTGCCATGTTGGATTCCAGTCGTCATGTAATGCTCTGAGTGTTTGCCATAAGAAAACTGTACATACATGTCTGTAGTATGGATAGATTATTGCAGAGGTTATTTAGGCATTTATAGTTTCCTGTAGATCTGATGCAGGGGTGTTTTCATACAGCCCAAGCACCAGCCGTGGAGAATACTAATAATATTGAGCATGTTGAGCTCTCATCCAGGGATCCTAGTGTGAACAATTCTTCTGTGGAGTCTACATTTTTGTTTAGTAACCATGTTGATGGACAAGGTTCCACTTTATATGAACATACCAAATCGAACAATTCTGGCTCTTTGTGCAATAGCACAGATAAACTCAGAAGTAGTAATTCAAGCACAAGCCATAAGCAATTTGTTCACCATGTATCAGCCCAGTTGCAGTCGGACACAACTGAATGCGGGCTACAAGCAGCTCGGGGTGTTAATGTGACCTTTAATATAAGGTCTCAAAAAAATGAATTTTCCAACATGAAGGTTGGCAATTTGTCCGCAAAATCGAAGGTTAGTAAGACTCTGGAGTAGATTGATTTTAAACTTCTTTCCCTTTTTGTATTTTGTGGCTGAATTGGGTTCAAGAAATCCTGGACCAACTATTTGGGATTGCAGGTGGTATCCTAGTTTGCTGCTTTACTGTATATAGGTCCAACCATTATATTGTCAAATATTTCCTCAGCTTAATTTTTAATTTTAGATTAAAAATAGAAGCTGTTAAGGGAATTTCGTAATTTCTGACCAGTTGTTGAGTTTGTTTTCTGAATAGTTTTTTGGGATTCAGCTCTCCCTCTACCATGCTTTCCAATTAAGGTTGTAGTCCCAGATGTTTATTATTGTCACAATCTGAATCCCTAGGATGGAAAAACTGGTGTCTTTTGTTTGCTGGGCGAATACAGCTTATGGGGACTATGTAAGCAGCCCTATAGCTTAGTTGGCTTCCATGGGTTTAATGTGCATTCTTTGTTATATTAGTATCATGTAAGATTTTTCTTTTATTTTTGAAAATATCATACTATCTTTTGTGATTTATTTTCTCTGTTTTAGATGGAGGGAAGAACATCATCAGCAGGGAGATGCTACTCTGGACGGTTTTCTGTGCGGCAGGACCTTTTTAGAGGTCAAAATAAGCTTTTTGACACACCTATTCGAGATTTTGGTGATGAAACCATGAACAGGGGCAGTGAAACTGACCCTAACGTTACGATGAAGGACCTGTCTATGCAGGTGTCAGAAGAATCAAAAAGGGCAGATCATTGCAAACAGGTATACATACAAATAAAAAAAGGGGACAGTCAGGGTAATTGTTCATCATTAAAATCAATTCAATGGTGGAGAATGTGGGAGTAATAAATGTTGAAGGAAAAGTTTCCGGGAATAAGAAAATATTAAAGAGTTTATAGTAAAAAAAGGTATGGTTTAGTTGATAGTTGTCTATGAAGTATGAACTATCAATGTAATGTTCGGAATTCTAAACCATACATTTCTTTCTTCTTTTGAAGCACTTCTTTTTTTCCTCAGACGCTCAGTGCTATCTCAAATTACTTGAGCAATTGAAAATCTATGATTATGTGTTCCTTTTTCGTCTCTAGAGGAACCTTTTTTTCTCTTTGCTGTGCCAATTTCCTAGTGACTACCAAACTAAGATCGGCAACAGCTGAGGTGTTACTTGATGATGATGACAGGATCTGAAGATCTCAACAAAAAACTTAATAAGCCCAAGCGCCAGTGTTTCCCAACTTGATTTGGACAAGTTAATGAACATGGAAGTGACAAAAATCAGAGATCAAGAGGAAAGTGATTTTGGGGCAGTTGAAAATAATGTAACAATCGTTGCATGCAAAGAAGCATTGCTCAATTTGGATGCTGCGGCTGAGAATGCGCTCCAGTTATTTTCTAAATTAGGGAGCCTGACTAATGGAGATGAAATTTCGAGGCAGCCTGAAGCTCAATTATGTGCTGAGGCTACTCAGATGCTTCCTTCAATAGCAAAGAAAGTTCATGCAGTTGCCACATTGGTGCAATCTACTACCAATAATTCCTGTGGGGGAACTGGATTGGATGCTCCGAGCTTTGAAAATATGTTAGGAACATTTGCTGAGAGTCTATCACAAAGGGTTGTTGAAATACTGAAGAAAAATTATAGCAGTCTCTGAAATGTCTCTATGTAGCAGTGTACAGTATCTACAAAATAAGTGTGCTGGCCTAACTGCTATGCTTGGAGCTGGTGTTGAACACAAAGATCAGATCAAATGTGGGCTTAAAGACACTATTTACAAAGCTCCGTGGACGTAAAACCCAGGCCGGAAAGTTCCTTGCTGGGCCCATTTTAGTCCTCAGCCACACATCTGTCTAAAAAGAACACCCATTTTTTGCAGCTTAGAGATCTGCAGGTATGGGCTCCATCTCTTCCAAAAAAAGAAAAAGAGAAACTCTATCTTTCCTGTGTAAACACTCTTCTCTTTTCTGCACATCTTTTCCAAGCATATTTAATGGCCATTCCACTTTAGCATAAAAAAGAGAAAAAAAAGGAAGAAAAAGCAATGACCATCTTTGCTTTTCCCTATCCCTTCACCTTTAAAAGGTAACTGTGCTGATAATTTTTATGCAATTTTAATATTAAACTCTAGACAAAGCCCTTTTTTTTTTTTTTGCAAAACTCGAGGCATGTCACTATGTCGGGGAATATTTTGTAAATCCCTAAGAATGTATGCCTAGAAATTATCCTCTTGTATGCTTCTGTTCCTTTGTCTTGCTTTAGTAACATGCCAAACTCTAAATTCTTTCTTGGGATTCCTTGTGTCTACATGTAGAATCATGTCATGTAGTTTACTAAAGTTGTAATGCTAGCTCCTACAGAGGCACTACACCTAAGCTTGTTAATACAAAATGTCTCATTAGTTGAATCATGATGGCCATTGGATGTTTAAGACTGTTTGCATAACTTGGTTTCTGGGCCCATAAAAGACCATTAATCACCCCATGGCTATTCAAATGGTGATCCGTGAGACGAGTTTGTGTTAAAAAACATTTCACTTATATCCGGTTCATTTATTAATTTGTGTCTAACGAATTGTGTCTTGAGTTCGTGTCGTGTGTGAGTTATGTATAATTGGTATATAAACAAGTTGCGTCGTGTATTTTTTTGATTGATTTCACACATATTCGATTCGTTTATTAGTTGTGTTGTGTCGGGTTCACTCGTTTACTAATTGAGTGGTTCAAAGAAGATCCAAACTATATAATTTCGTGTTATTAGACCATGTCATATTTTGATACCCATACCCGTGACACTCCCAAATAAGAGTCTCGAAACACCAGGTGTTTCTTATGGTCTTATTTGTGGTGTTCTCTCTTCCTTCTATCTATAGGTTCTCTCATGGTCCTCTTTGGTGTTTCTTCCTCTGTACCTAGGACATAGATGGATTATGATTTATTACAACTTTGATATATCTTTATTGATAGTGTGAAGTCTTTAGGTACGTCTATCTTAGAAGCAAATTTCATCTCGTCAGGGGTAAGGAAGAAGCTGGGAAGGAGGGAAAGATAAATGGGTGGGGAATGGTTGTGCAGCCTATATTTTTTCTCTTTTTTTAAGTACTTAAATCGGTAGACTAGTATTACAATAAACAATCAACTATTAAAATGTTAGAATGATCGTTTATAGTTCTACAGAGGGCTGACTAAAAATTCGAAATAAAAGACATAATTAGTCATTTTGAATCTAAATATCAAAATTTCATTTTAAAATAGTTGAAACGTCTGAAATGTTTATGTTTTTAAGAAGATCAAAATAAAATTTTAATACTTCGAAGTGTTTTATAATGTTTTGAAGTGTTTTGTAATGTTTTAATATATTTGTATAATTATTTCAGAATATTGTTGGAAAAATAATTCTTAATTTTTTTTTAATTATATTTTTGAAACGGGTCAAAATATTTTTATTTCCTAAGTGATCAAAATAATGTACTAAAATAAAATTTTGATCTTTAGTTGAATCCGATTTGCATTCGATTAATCGTGTAGATTTTGATTTGAGATATCCTAATATAGATTGATTATAATGCCAGCCAACTTAACATGTACATAAATATACAAGTTGTTGAGAGTGCAATGGACAAGAATCTGATTCATAAGCAGTAGAAATAATATTGTTTTATTTTTTGTCTTCAAAGTCGGAATTGCTTATGCTATTTGTCATTTAGAAGATGACAAAAAATTAAAGAAAGGAAGGGAAAGGGAAAGGGAAAGGGAAAGCTCACCCTCTTGTCCTTTGACCATAAAAATCTCAGTTTCACATCGATGATAAACAATGGGGTACAATAAGACTTCCTTTCAAGTAATACAGGGACAGACTGAGACTCTTAAACTCCCAACGCAAGCGCAGGAAGATAAAGGAGAAGGAGGGTTTTGAAATTCATTGAATCTCTCAAACGAATGAATTGTGACATTCGTAATAATCGATTTTACAGAGCCTTATCACTCGGTTGGATAAGAGAATTTCACTTCAGAACAAAAATGACTGTATAATGTTATAGAAGCACGCACGCACTTCTTCGTCCAAAATAGTGCTAACAATCTTCTTATATCTCATTGAAAAAAGAAAATTTAATACACGAAGATTCACGGCTTTTTGTACATGTAGTCTTATCTCGTGTGTGAAAAAATTATTTCCCTAACTCAAATTTTCAATTAGAACAAAATAATTTTACTATTGTACCAACGTCCGTCCTTTTGATATTTGAATCGGAGAGATAAGTATGAAATTATTTGATGCTACGATGAAAACGAATTTAGATTTCATCCGATATCTAATTCTTTCAAATTTATTGTAACATTAGGTTTTTCACCTTAGACCGAACTCATTATAAGTGATTTATCAAATCGAAAATTACAATATATATATATATTAAGAAAAATCTGAATCTGATATAAATATGAACCACATAATTGTCAATGGGGTTAGCTGACTGAATAGGGACTTGGATGGACTGTTGCTGTACCAATTATGGAAGATTTAAGGAATCACATTTTTTCATTTGAAAACATCTACAAATAACTTTTTAATGTAAGTGGGAGGAAGATGGAGATAGACTGATAGGATCGTAGGAGTAAACCCTAACGGTAGAGTTACAATAAGAATGAGTTGTAAATTCAAATATTTTAAGTTTAAATTTTGACAAATTCATCAGACCAGATCATGAAAGATTTATTCCTTGTACATATCCTAATCTCAGGATCAATGACTTACTTTTAACTGGACAAAAAAAAAATTAGTTAAAGTGTATATAAATTGACTTAAATTTGATCAACAAATTCATTGAAAGACAAAAGGCATATGTATAGCCAGAGAGAGAAGAATAGATGGAAAGAGAGACAAAGGTAGAGCCTTTTGTTTATGATTTTTTTTTGCTTGAGGATAATAAAATAAAGAAAAGGTAAAGGATTGAGGACAGACGATCACTTTATGTCCAATTCCATGCACAATAAGCTATAAGCACAGTTTTTAGAGATCCCACTCCAATAGTTTTTTTTTTTCCCCATGTTTAGTTTCTTTTAATAAAATGTTTAAAATTGAATATATTAAGTATTTAATAAATTAAATCCGATTAATAACTTAAAACTCACACTACTTAATATTTTAAATACTTTTTAAAAATAAGTTATATTTTCTAAAAATATTAGTCAATAAAAACTTTATATTCCTCAATACATTTTGTACTCTTAGTTTTTCAATACTCACCACTATTGTGTCGTCACTATCATTATCATTGTGTTGTCGCCACCACCATCTCCACCGCCACCATTATTGTGCCACCACCGCCATGATGGTAGGAACAAGGTAGTTAGGGTGAGACGATTTAAAAAGAATGAAAAAAAAATTAGAATAATAATAATTTTTAAACTTGAACTTCTTATATTTGTCAAACAGTTTAATTCAATTTAATATTTAAATTTAAATTTAACATTCAATTTTTAATTATATCAAACACTACCTTAATTGACGGATTTTTCTTGCCACGTGTATTTTGTTTTTTCCATCCTAATTTCTCCGAGGAGAGGGAAAAAGAATCCCAAACATGTCTGACCAAAAGTCACATCCACATGGATGAGGTGATATGAACGACGTCGTGTAGAGACGTTGTTTATGTACTGTTTGGCAATGCGTGTTGGGCCCAGGTGGAAAACTAGTCGCTAACAAATCACAAGTCCGTGGGAAAACCCCACAACGATGGTGATGGAAAATTCAAAAGAGACGGAAAAAGAAAGTCCCAAAAAACAAAAAGAAACCCAAAACCGAGGAAAAGAAAAAGCAGAAAAAGGAAAAAAAAAAGCAGAGAAAGCGAAATTAGAATGCAAGCATAGGAGAAGCATACAGACGTAAGTGCTTATATGTCGATATATGGGTCCACCAAATGATTTAAAACTTTTATTTTTTTAATATTATATTTTTATTAATTAAAACTAAGTAATGTCTAAAATGTATTAGGGTACTATTTTTCTAAAAATATTTTATTGGGAAATAAGAATAAATAAAATTTTTTGAATTTAAATTATTTATAATAATTAATAGTACAAATAATATATTTTTGTGGGTTAATATCACTTTACACTCTAAATGTTTATTTGTTTCTCAATTTTCATTCTCAAATATTAAAAATTTCAATTTGTATCCTCATAAATCGGTAGTATAGTGGGTCTTGTCTAGACTACAGTTCAATTTTTCTTTATAAATTGAAGCACTTGAGTTGTAAATTCTTTAGTCATAAATTTATGTATAACTTTACATACTGTTGTCACTTTATGTGAGTTGCATATGATATACTTTGTCTCTATTTGATTAACAAAACTTTATTTTTGATAAATAAAATGATGTCAAATTGATCGCAGACAAAGATTTACGACAATTGACAGACTTCATTCTTACAATTCATGTATTTCAATTTATAACAAAAAAAAACTGAACTGTAATATGGGCGAGGTTCACATTATTATCAATACATAATATTGAAGGTACAAATTAATATTTTTAATATTTGAGGGTATAAATTAAGAATCAAAGAATCTTTTAGGGTAGAAAATGAGATTAGCCCTATTTTTATTAGATATATATATAATGCTAGAAAATAAATTCTTTCCTCCGCGTGATTTCTTTTGCTTTTTTTTTTTCTTCTCTCTCTACAGGAATCTTTGAAAATCAAAATGCTCAGCTAAAACAAAAAATAAATTATGAGAAATGTAAAATCCCGAAAAAGTTCACTTTTTGATCGGCACTCCAATTCAGAAAATGGGGAATGCGCCTAGAATTCAATAACCGAGCTTTTCTACCAAGGGTAAAAGAGTCTTTTCATCGAGGGTGGTCTTTATCTAAGTAAAGCATCCATCCAACGTTAAAGTCATATTTTCATAGACGAGATAAGATTTTCTCTTTCATTTCCTTTCATTTTTT